GATTTTTGTATATTGAACTCATTCATTGTAATAGTTTTTAGTAGATTTCATAGGGTTTTCTATATACAAGATGTGTGATCTACAGATTGTTTTGCTTCTTGTTTCCAATCATCATGTCTTTTAATTTTCTTGCTCAACTGTCCTGACTAGAACCTTCCATAAAATACTGAGTAGAAGTGATGAGAGCAGACATTCTTGTCTGGTTCCCAATCTATGGGGGAAGCATTCAGTCTTTTTCCACTGAGTATGATGTTAGCTATGGATTTTTTTATCCATCCTCTTATCAGATTGAGGATATTTTTCTATTATTCCTAGTTTGTTTAGTGTTTTATCATTAAATGCCTTTGGAAGTTGTCAAGTGATATTTCTGCATCTATTGAGATGATCATATGGTTGTTCTTTGTTCTATTCATATGGCATCGGTCATTGATTTTTATGTTAAACCAATCTTTCATTCCTGGGGTAAATCTCACTTGTTTATAGTATATAATGCTTTTTATATGTTGCTGGTTTCTGTTTGCTGTATTTTGGTGAAAATTTTGTACTGTAAGAGTTTTCTTTTTTCATGATATTTTTGTCTGGTTTGGTTATCAAATGAACACCTCAGCATGATTTTGAAGTATTTCTGTGTCTCCCTCTCTCCTCCCTCCCTCCCTGGAATAATTTGTGAAGAACTGGCATAAATTCTTTAAATGCTTGATAGGATTCTCTGTTGAAGACATTTGGGTCTGGGCTTTTCTTTGTGGGAACTTTTTGGATGTCTAATTCAATTTCCTAGTTGTAAATATATTCAAATTTTCTATTTATTTTTTTCTCTATGTGTTTTTCTGGAATGTGTTCATTTCACTAGGTTGTTCATAATATTCCCTTATAATTATTTTTTATTTTTGCAAGATTAGTCATGATGTCCCCTCCTGCATTCCTCACTTAACAAATTGAGTCTTCTCTCTTTTTTCTTGGTCAATGTAACAAAAGGTTTGTCAACTTTGCTGATCTTTCTAAAAACCAAATTTGATTTTGCTGACTCTCTCTTTTACTTTTCCATTTTTATCTATTATGATTCTAGTATTTATTATTTCCTTCCTTCTGCTTATATTTAGTTTGCTCTTCTTTCTTCAGTGTCATTAGATGGAAGATTACTTTATTGATGTAATATCTTTCTTCTTTTTTTAATGTGGGCATTGTAGAGTGCTTCAGAGATTTTCATTCTTATGGCCTACCTCTACCCTTGGGCAGATCTCTTAGTTATGACTCTAATAGGGGGTGTGGTGGACAGTGATCTGTTCCTTGAGGAGTGACAATCCTGATTTACAGGTGGGTACTAGACAGGGGCAGTAGCTTCTGTTCTTCTCCCTTTGCCTCTCCTGATATTGAACCTCTAGGGACGCAGGGCAACAATGATTAGGGCCTCAGGATTTTTGGCTTGCTATGGTTGGGGTAGTTACTGCCTCTGCTCTCTTCCTTGGAGCTGGGTAAGAAGGGTTCCTTCAACTCTTGGCCTCTGGCTTGCATGTAATTCAGTCTCTGCAACATGGACCTAGGAGGAGGGCATAGGGATGGGAAATGGTAGTGGCCTGCCTCTCCCAGTGAGAGATGGTAGTTCTTGACCAGGGGGAGAGAAATCCTGTTGCCTTGGCCATAATCACCCAGAGTAGAGCTTTTATCATGCTGAGATGGACAAGGTTGCAGAGTAGGAAAGGAATGAGTCAGGCTCAAGTGCCATCCAATTTGACTATTCTTACTGAGATTTAGTATATTTTCATATATAAATGTTTCTTTATCCCCTATATGCCCTTAAAACAGTTTCTAGAAACTTTAAGTGATTGTTGTGTTTTAAAAATAATTTTTGCTAATTATGGTTGTTTCATGGGAGAAAATGTCCATGAAGCTCTTCATGCGACCATCACAGAAGATGTCTCTCTTATGTGTCTGCTCAGTTTTATTTAACATTGTTATCATTTGTTTAGGGAGGACTTCCTGTATACCTCGATATGCTATTTCCATCAATATACATATATATATATTTTTTAAAGATTTTATTTATTTATGCATGAGAGACATAGAGAGAGAGAGAGAGAGGCAGAGACACAGGCAGAGGGAGAAGCAGGCTCCCCCAACGCAGGACTCGATCCCAGTGTCTCCAGGATCCCACCCTGGGCCGAAGGCGGCGCTAAACTGCTGAGTCACCAGGGCTGCCCAAAATCTGTATTTTTGAATAGCCCAAGGACACTACGTACTTGAAAAAAAAATATTCTTCTGATATGTTGCACTTGAGAAGTCGTAAAGTGCACATTTTAATAATTAAATTCCTTTTATGAGAAATTAAGATTAAATTGAGGCACATTCAGTAAGAGCAGCTGAATGTAATGCTGAAGAGTACCTTTCCAAGGATGATATGGCATCTCCTGTTGATGTTTTTACCCCAAAGATATGTAAACTATTTGTGAGATATATCTCATAGAAAGAGACCATTGGATAGTAACTTGATGTATAGATTAAATTTAGAAGAATTATGTACACAGAGAATTGGGGTAAGACTCCCACAAGTAGCCTACACATACACACACACACACACACACACACACACATATACACACAATGTATGAGTTTATTAAAAGGGAAAGCTGGATTAAGGGAAGGTGAAAGCGCAGAAGTCAGAGACTGACTTCATGTATACTTGGGGTCCTGTGTTGTTGAGTTCCCTCTCCACGTGTTCCATGCTACCTTTCTGCCAATGACACCAGCAATCATTAAATATAGGTAAGGGTGGAATAGGATAATTTCCTCTTTGAACATTTTCAGTGCCTTTGTTGTCTTATGTAATGATTTAATAAATTTAGTTTTCATTTTTTAAAGGAGTTTATTTGTTTGTTTGTTTGTTTAAGATAGAGCACACATGCATGAGTTCCAAAGCAAGAGGAAGAGTAGAGGGAGAGGGAAAGAATCTTAAGCAGATTCTGTATTAAGTGTGGACCCCAATATGAAGCTCGATACCACTACCCTGAGATCATGACCTGAGCCAATATCAAGAATTGAATGCTCAACTGACTGAGCCACCCAGGAGCATCTAATTTTCATTCTTCAATAAATATTAAATGAATGTTTACTACATGTCAAGGTGTTCTTTAGAAATTCTGATCTTCTCGTCATTCTGAAATATGGGGTTTCTTTCTAGAAAAAAATTTATTCATATTCTTCTCACTTGTTTTTCTGTAATCTTGAGTCAGTTATTGATTAACTGGGTTGGGAAAGAAGTTATACATAACTGAAATTAGTATAAAAATGTGATGGATTTAGTGTATACTTATTGAAATAACATCTGATTTTTTAGCAACTTTCACTGTTTTACAGGCACTATCCAAAATTGAGTTGGTGTAGACTTATTATGAAAATATATCTGAAAAAAAAAAAGAAAATGTATCTAATATATGGGGGATACTTCCATTGTTCTGTGGATATTATCTAAAAGTATGTGAAATGATAGAACAACAGTTGAAGGCATTGACCTGACATTTAATTGCTGATATAGAAGGGCCATTACTACTTATTAAACAGTGATCATTTCTCATCATATTTGAGCATTTTTTTCCCAAGCATAAGGACAGAACCAAATTGGGAATATTACAGCCCAGATCCTTGTTCCCTCCTTCCTCTTCCCTCTGCCTCACTTGATTCCTCCTCCTCCTAGTCTTGACCCAGAAATCAAGAAACCATAGTTGTGCATATGGGTGTACAACTGGCCACAGCCTCACTCTTAGGGAGAGCTCCTAGTAGAGAAAGAGGCACCATTGGGTCAGTTTGGATCTATTCGTTCTTCACAGATTTCCAGACATAGATTTATTTCTGATGTAGATTCTTCATTGATTTCTAGGCATCAATTTTTAAAAAAATGAATGGCTTTTTTTTTAGTTATTAGTCTACAACTTGTTTAATCTTTCAGTAGATAATAAAGAGGGAGGAACACTGCTGAAGGATCTGTATATATGCACTCACAGTAAATATAGCAGGTGAAAGTTGCTATATGGCTTGACTAAGACAATTATACAGATTATTAAGAAATCTAGACCTTTTTCCTTTTAAGGAATATTAAAGAGAATTTGTGTGTGATAACATTATGTATTGAAAGACTTCTTAGGGTGTGGAGATTACCATGAATAGAGCCTGGTTCAGACAGCATAGTGTGATATTTTATTATTTCAAAATTAGCTGGCTTTGCACATATCTGTGAACTAATTTTGAAGTTTAGTTTACTTTTGAATTTTAGTTCAACATAAAACCAAATCATGGAGAAAGGAGAAAAAAAATCTTAGTGTTAATTGGAGCATCTATAAAGTTCTGTTACAAGCAGTAATACTTATACTAAATCTTTGAGGCCAGTTTTATCATCATCAGTCCTTTTATGAGACAAAACTGTAGTTCTAAAGTATTGGGTCAGGTGCCCAAGGTTATACAGCTAGTAAATAACAGAGACTGGATTTCAGCCTGGCCAGCTCCTCAACTTGTCCTCACCTTTTTCCTACAACCAACAGAATGTTAGCAAAATGATTCCTTGTACATGCTTCCATGAATTATCACATATTGTTTATAATTGTTGATGAATATTTGCCACAAGGGCTCTTTGCCCATTATTGTATGTCAGATTTTAAGGATGTGTGTCAATTTCACAATTCTAGGGTAAGGTGCAACGGTAAGTGTTCATTCCATCCAGCTTCCTAATCACTGCATATCTTTATTTATGGTCACATAATAATAGGGCTAGTTGTCTGTTCTTGTCTCATCTGCCTGCTGCTTCTCCTCATACTTGAGTTCTCTGTAGCTCCCAGCCCACAATGAGGAGCCTTTCTTACAAAATTGTATTGTGAATGTGCTGAAGCACACCCTGCAAGATTAATTGTGGTCTGTTTATGATAGAGCTAGATTAGTATTCATAGTCCATATATTTCATATCTTGTTGTCAACCTTTTTTTTTTTTTTTTTGGTTTGGTTTGGATTCTTTATAGCAGATTTAAAGAAAGCCTCTGGTTCAAATGCTGCAAAATCCAATCTGCCAAAATCTGGACTTCGTCCTCCTGGATACTCGCGCCTCCCAGCAGCCAAGCTGGCAGCCTTTGGCTTCGTGCGGAGCTCCAGTGTGTCCTCGGTCTCCAGCACCCAGTCTGTGGACAGCGCGCAGCCCGAGCAGAGCCGGCCAGCCAACCGTAAGTGGGCGGTGCCGGCGTGCTGTGCCCCTGTGGGGATTTGCCCCTTGGGCCACACTGGGTGGATCAGAATGCGGGTGTACTAATTTGATTTCTTTGTGTAGGAAAGATTTGATCTGACTACCCTCATCTACCATTGTTAAGACTTTAGAAAAGCATCTACTGAAGGAAAAAAAAAAAAGCCTGTTTGGCCCTATCATTTTTTCAGTTATGAGGAGTTTAAATGTTAGAAAAAAGACTTAAATCTAGAAAATGACTTATCCAGGGACTGAGACCAGGAGCCCTTTGCTCCATGGATTCTATGTAAGAAGTCAAAGAAAGATCCAAAACAAGTGTTGCATGAAACAAACTATGTATTAAATAGTAGTGGCGAGAATCCTTTTAAATTACCTGGGATTATCTGTAATGCCTTCATTTTGGTGGAGCACTTGGCTGGGTTTCTAAAAGTTAACCAAATGATGCTAAAAATAGAAAAGGACAACTGAGCTTCTTCAACTCTGTGCCCAGAAAGGTCCCCATTAGCTGAATGGTGCTACTCTAAGTCTGGTTCCTGAGACTGATGTTGTAAGCTGTATTTCAAAGCATGAATTAATAGTCTCAGAGCAAGTCACAGACAGCTGCTGTTCCTAAAGAAGATCTGGAGGCTGCCCCATTCAGCTGAGCCTTTAATGACCAAAGCCCATCTCAGCCCGTCAACTTCAAAGTCATTGTTATTGGATCTGAAGCCGTGGTACCTCAGATGTTGGTTAGTTTAGCAAGAACTTGCCGGAGGGCCAGGAAAGTCTTAGAGGTTTTCCTGTGGCAGGCTCTTTGGGAGGGATTACAGTAGTTGAATCAGGCTGAAGTAGTGAGTGAGTGAGTGAAAGAGAGAGAGAGAGAGAGAGAGAGAGAGAGAGAGAGAGAGAGAACAAGATGGAGTGTCGAGGGTAGAGTTTGAAAATGAGATTGATTTATATTATTTTTTTCAATTTCCTTTCCCTGAGCGTGATCTTTCTAAATCCTTTCTTGGGTTTGGAGAGATGAGGTGCAGCACATTTGTACCTTTATAGTTCTAGATTTTGCTCTACCTAGCTATTCCTAATAATAATACATTACATTTTCCTTTGTCTTAATGTATTTGTAAGCAGTCTGAGAGGTTTTTATGCTCACGTGGTTTCCTGAAGGTACTGCATCTCTGAGCTGCTTTTACACTGGGTTCATTTTAGGAATATCATTGTCATTACAGATTACATTGTGGCACAGTAGATGTCTCAAAATCTGAAATGTGTATATAATAAAGAACTATTTGCAAATGTGTAACTCAGATCTGTGTGTACATATTGACAGTCTGAAGATTTTTAAATACAGGAGCAACTATTTGTCATCCTTTTTAGTAGTAAAATTCCCAGTGGCATGTTTCTCTTTTAGAGGGAGCATGAGTGATTAAAAAAAAATCTCGTATGTAATGTATCTTTCTAAGGAAGATGTCAAAGCCTTGGTTTCTTAAAAAAAATAATAATGTCAAGATGAATTGAGCTTTGTTCCCATAGCATCAACTTTTGCTAAAGGAGATCTGACAGTTGTGGACAGAATAATTCCAGGTGTATTTAGGGCATTTCTTCTTTACCTCTGCTTCAAAGGACACTAGACAGGGACACCCTGAGCACCCAAAAGAGCCATAACAAGCCAGGGAAAATAAGTCCTAAGTTAAAGACTTAATAATAAGGGTAATATGTATTCACACCAAAAAGAATAAGATACCTAGGAATAAACCTAACCAAAGTGGTAAAAGATCTGTACTCTAAAACTATACAACACTTATGAAAGAAACTGAAGAGGACACAAACAAATGAAAAAAGCATTCCATACTCATGTATTGGAAGAACAAATGTTAACATGTATATACTACCCAAAATAATTTACACATTTAATGCAATTCCTGTCCACATACCATCAACATTTTTCACAGGGCTAGAACAATAATCCTAAAATTTGTATGAAACCACAAAAGATCCCGAATAGCCAAAGCAATTCTTGAAAAAGAAAAGCAGGAACACCTGCACAGGTCAGTCAGTTAAGCGTTGGATTCTTGATTTCAGCTCAGGTCATCATCTCAGGCTTGTGGGATCTCACGTTTAAATAAATCTTTAAAAAAGAAAAAGAAAAGCAAGGCTGGAGGCATTATGGTTCCAACTTCAATCTGTATTACAAAGCTGTAATCAAAACAGTGTGGTACTGGCACAAAAACAGACATATATAGATCAATAGAGCAGAATAGAAGACTCAAAAATGGGCCCACATCTATGAGGTCAACTAATTTTTGACAAAGCAGGAAAGAATATCTAATAGTCTCTTCAATAAATGGTGTTGGGAAAACTGGACAGCCACATGCAGAAGAATGAAACCGGACCACTTTCTTACATCATACACAAAAATAAATTCAAAATGGATGAGAAAAACCTAAATGTAAGACAGGAATCCATCAAAATCATAGAGGAGAACACAGACAACAACTTCTTTGATCTTGGCCATAGCAGCTTTTTACTAGACACATCTCCAGAGGCAAGGGAAACAAAAGCAAAAATGAACTATTAGGATTTCATTAAGATAAAAAGCTTCTGCACAACAAAGGAAATAATCAACAAACTAAAAGGCAACTTACAGAATGGGAGAAATTATTTTCAAATGACATATCTGATAAAGGGTTAGTATCCAAAATCTATGAAGAACTTATCAAACTCAACACCCAAAAAACAAATAATCCTGTCAAGAAATGGGCAGAAGACAGAATATACACTTTTCCAAAGAAAACATCTTGACGGCTAATAGACACATGAGAGGATGCTCAGCATCACTCATCATCAGGGAAACACAAATCAAAACCATGATGAGCCTATCAGAATGGCTAAAATTAATAACACAAAAAACAAGAGGGGTTGATGAAGATGCAGAGAAAGGAGAACCCTCTTACACTGTTGGTGGGAATGCAAACTGGTGCAGCTACTCTGGAGAACAGTATGGAGGTTCCTCAAAAATTTAAAAATAGAGCTACCCTATGGTCCAGCAATTGCACTAGTAGGTATCTACCCAAAGGATACAAAAACATACATTCGGAGGGGTACATGTACCCCAATGTTTATAGCAGCATTATCAAGAATAACTGAACTATGGAAATGTCCATCAACCAATGAATGGATAAAGAAGATGTGGTACACACACAGACACACACAGGAATATTACTCAGCCATCAAAAAGAATAAAGTTAAAAAAAAGAATAAAGTTTTGCCATTCTCAAGGACATGGATATAGCTAGAGTGTATTATGCTAAGTGAAGTCAGTCAGTCAGAGAAAGACAAATACCATGGGATTATATTTATATGTGAATTTAAGAAACAGAATAGATGAACATATGAAGTCAGGGAGAGAGGGAAGCAAACCATAAGAGACTCTTAACTATAGAAAACAAACTGAGGGTTGACAGAGGGAGGTGGGTGGGAGATGGGCTAGATGGGGGATGGGTATTAACGAGGGCACTCATTGTGATGAACATTGGGTGTTGTGTGTAAGTGATGAGTCACAGTTTTACTCCAGAAACCAATATTGCGCTGTATGTTAATTAATTCACATTTAAAGAAAAATTTGAGTAACTAAATAAAAACTTGACAAGAAAAAAATAAAAGTAATATATGTTTAGAATTTTTTTCTATTTTAAAAAAAAACACAGTACTTAGAATTGTTTTGTAATTATCTGCTACCTAACTGTATGTAAAATATGTACTTCACCAATGAACCACAGAAAACCTCCTTACATATTTGAGTTGATATCTTAGTACCATTAACCATTCTGGTTATATTTGTTATTAGATTTAATGTCAAGAATAATTTTATTTCTGTTCTTTAGTGGAGAGATGATGCTTTGATGATAAGGAGTAAGTAAAATATACAGTTCTTGAAAGAGCTGAAAGTCCATAGATCAAACCCTAGGAGGAAAGCTTTGTTGGTTTAGCTCATCGAAACAGCTAGCATGATATCAGCATTGGTTCCTTTTTCCTTCTTGGAACATTGATCTTTCTTCAAACGGTATGTTCAAGTAGGATTCATTTTAGGAATACTACAGTAATTAGGAATTATAATGTGGCACAATAGATGTCTCAAAATGTGAGATATGACTATAATAAGGAACTGTTTAGAAGTGTGCAGCTCATATTTTTAGATACTCATGTGCCTATAAACAGTCTGAACAGTGTCCACAGTGAACAAAGCATGCTATATTTAGGGCACTTTTCAGAGATTCATTAGGAACTTGGTGTTTCCTGGGTGACTTTGGCTTACTTACAACTCTCTCCATGAAGTTTTCCTGGGTCCTCAGGGGCAGATAACAGTAAGCATGGAGAGGGGAGACCCCGGGGCCCCCTGGATATGGCTCTCACCTTTTGGATATAGAATCTGCCCTCTGCCCTGGGTGCAGGGAGGTAGTAGAGTGGTTGGGGAGTAGGAATGCAGCTGAGGAGGTGGACAGAGAGGTGACCTTGTATAAATAACCATGGCACAAGGATATATGTGCCCACAGCCTTAAAAACGATACAAAGCTGGAAAGATGTTCCTGGTTTGGGGTGGGGGGTTAATTTCTGATGCGGGTGATCAGGGAGTTTCTCAGTGGGGTTATATTTTGGGAAGCGGAGATGGGCTCTGGGAGATCGTTTGTAGGGGAGCTGTTGGTGCAGCCAGAAAACCTCCTGAATGTGAGGGGTTGCCATTTCTGGTACAGCTTGCCAGTTCATCATTGTATCATCTGTCTTCTGTACAGCTGGTGTGATTGAGCTCCCCAAGGTTTGTTCTCACAATGCATCTCTTCCAATTCTTTAAGCTTCCCCTTGCTCATCCTATCCATACTTTCATCTCTTAGCACTTTGGACATACTACCACCTCCATAGCTGCAGCCCCTTCCTCTCTCTGGAACTACTCACCCGTTTCACATGCCAGACATCCCCAGCAGACTGACCCCAAGTTGCCTCAAACTG